CTCGACCAACCCGTGCATCGTACTATCACCATTCCCATTTCCATTTGCTGCTGCATTCTTAGCATTAGGCAGCCGTTGCTGAACCTGTTGTCCCAGCAAATCTCCAACAGTTGCAAGAGCCTGTTGAATTTCGTCTATTCGGGGGTCTTGCTTTGACTTTCCTTTCAAGGTCGTGGCCAGGTCCTGAGCATTCATATTACCGTTGATATTCTAATAGGTTTTTCTACAACACAAGAACAGGTCAGTGATCAAAATATTATCAACCAAGGCCTATTCAACTAACAATCAGTCGAACAATCACATGCACAGAGTGTTTCCTAGTTAACTATCCCAACTTCAGCGCACCTTATCACTCCATGTCTTTATTTTCGCTTGGCTTTCAGAATCGTTTTCCATAATTCGGTGCACATTCGATTATTCTCGTTATTTAGCAGTCTTAGAAGCCTGCTAAGAGCCGCTCAATGATCAGGCCCTTCACCCCGACGCCACTTCTATTCAGAAGCTACTTAATGTTCAGGTGGTTATACCCCGACGCCACTTCTGCCCAGAGGCCACTCAATGATCAGGCCTTTTGCCTCGGCACCACCTTTGTCAGAAGCCGCTCAATGATCAGTTATTATTGCCCCGACGCTACTTCATTTCAAAAGTCGCACAATGATCAAGCATTCATGACCCCGGCACCACCTCCATCAGAGGCTACTTAATGATCAGGTCGTATGGCCCCGGTGCCACTCCCCGCCCTCGTTGGATCGACCAATTGCAAGTTGCCTCGGACTGTACCTACTAGAGGGAAAACCTGCTCTGCTACTAAAACTAAGCCCACTGTCACGCCCCGACTCGGAATCAAGATTGATGCTTGTTGACCGATCACAACCCGTTCGAGCTCGTGACTCGCGAAAAGGAATTAGTACGTCCCGTTCATTTTAAATGTGCAACCGGAAGCAATATTAAATGAGACATCACGAAACATCATAAGCAAACATCGCACATTATATTTACATGATTCGTGCTTATTTTAACAAGGCCATTTTTCGATCCCTTGCAAACCACGCGTATATTTTACACGCCTATTCCAAAGGCATTTCCGAGCAAAAGCCGACTATGAATAACAAAATTTTGGCTTGGGGTGATTCTACTCCTACTACTCCATCTCCTCGTGTTCCCATTTACTCGTGCTACTCCTCTCTACGACCCGTCCACCTGGCCATCTCACACCCCACCCGCGGCATGCCCCGGAGCCGGCCCGCCCATACCATCGAAGGGGTCGCTGAACCTGCGCAGGGGTTCAATCCAGTCTCCGTTAGACAAGCGGTACCATGCCACATACGTGTGGGGGACCAATTCCTCAAGGCCCTCGTCCACCATAACATACGTTGTAATTCGACGGTAGGCGCGGCCTTCACGGGCATCGATCACGATGAGCAACTCAGCTTGCATCTCTATGGGGTTGCCAAAACGGGTTGGGGGAGACGCCATCCTATGGTCCTGAAAACAGAAAAACAACGGGGAATGAGTCGGGGGACTCAATAAGTGAACTCACTAATGTCAAGCGAGGATGAATCGATTGCCGTTAACACGAGTCGGCTCTTACCGCATCGGTATCGATGGCAAATCAATAGCAAAATTCATGCCAAGAAATAACAAGAGAACATCAAACGCGAAACATAAGCAAACCATGGAAAGAACCAACTATGATCAACCAAGTGACCGAGATACGGTCCAAGCAACCACGTCACAACGCATCTCAACTTCCTTTCCCGATATTAGGGAATCCACTTACACAAACGATACAACTAGAACACGTGAGAAATAAGGAAAGTAAGTGGCGTGTGGCTTGAGCACGTGAAAAGCGGGGTCTTGGACGTGAACTTCCTAATGGCCGAACAACAAGGAGAAGAAGGATGGTCGGTTGGTGTGTGTGGGCGTGTGGAGCTCACATTCAAGTGGGGATCCATGCTTGAAGAAGAGGTAAAGTCATAATGATATGATCCCTAAAATCAAGTGCCATCATGAACTTGATCTAGAAAAATCTTGAGTATTAATGATATTAATGAACAATGGTCAAAAGAGCATGATGAAGTGATCTTGCCAAATCTAAGCCACTAAGGGCTCTTAATGTGGCTTTCCCTCTCTCACTTGATTTCTCTCGGCTTCCCCCTTGGCCGACTCCTTCTTCTTGTCTCTTGTCGATTATTGGTGATCATGAGTCACCATGCCTCCATTATGGGGTGGACAACTCAGCTGGTTCCAATTATGAAGGGGGACACCTAAGCTAAATTCCAATAATGGTGGCTTTTAGTGGAAAATTTGACCAAATTTGTCTCTTAGTTCCCTCTATTTCTGAAGCGTGAGGCCTTCTTCTAGTCCTCTACATATACTAGTTTTGCTCACAAATAGTCGGATCAATCGGCTTACACGATACCGATCAATCGATGTCTAACTTGTAACCCCACATCATAATTACTCAACTTATTTTCCGAGGGTTTTTTGTGACAAAACACACTTATTATACCCGTTCGATCCGAGGTTCGGTATAGGAAAACCTCCAAATGTGACCAAACACCACCAAACAAAAGTCCAAGTCCAACTATGTAAGTTCGGGCCTGTTGGGTTGCCCAGGCACGTGGCCTGTACAATCGGGCTTGGCTAGGTGCAGGACCGAGCACGCTGTTGGGCTGCATGGGCTGCACGGGCACACGGCTGGGCACATGGCCGGGCATGTGGCCGAGCACACGGGCGCAGTGCCGGGCTGCACGGGCGCGGTGCCTGACTGCACGAGCAGCGCGTCGAGCACGATGTCGATCCGCATGGGCAAGGGACCGATCCATGGACTAAACACATGCATTGACACACGAATGGGCACCATGCATGGCTCATGGCCAAGTCTCTTGGGCACAGAATTAGGCTGGAGTCGGATTTGATGGGCACATTGCCTGGCACAAGGGTCAGACACAATGATTAGCACACGACCAGGCACGTAGCCGGTCCGTGGCCTAGCTGACGGGCACAATGACCGGTCATGTCCGGGCACGAGGCCTGGCCGGCACGGCTGGCACATAGCCTAGTCTGCGGCCAAGCCATTAGGCTTGTGGCCTGGCACATGGCTCATCCATGGCCTACCCGACTTGACGCATTGATCCGTGGCCGATTTACTATCGGTCCACATTCGAGTATCAACGACCCATAGTCAATCCTCGGTTGTCATGTAGCCTCGTGGAACTCAGTACCCCGGAATCAACTCATGGTCATCCGTGACCGATGCATGGCCGTGCGGTATCACCCGCGACCGACACATGCCGACACAGAACTGATCCATAGCTATCCCGGATCGTCCCACTAATGGCCCTTATGGTTGAAGGGTCACTCCACAGTCATATCACTCTAATTGTCTTGCGAGATTAGGGAGTCATTCCACTGTCGATCCCTAAGCCAATTCGTGGACAATCTTTCGATCGAACCATGACCAACCCTCAATATACTCGTTCCGACCATATTGTCCGTTCCATTACGATCCTCGGCTTAGACCACTTGCCCAATCTATCGCTATTTACCTTTGGCCATCGAGGTCCAAATCCGGAGATGTCACAACGTGCCTAATGGGTGAAGCTCACTATCATGCGAGCTTGATAGACAGTGAGGGAAGAAAAGGATGGAGGCAAGTAGACTTTGCTTGATAGAGTACTCGACGGTGACCATTAGAGTATTGAGCAAATAACAATGGTGAAGAAGATAAGTTACTCGATCATTCGTTGAGAAGGGCAATTTTGTCTTATAAGTGGAGAAAAATTAGGGAAATTTATTCAAAAAGTCTTAAACCGATTGCACTTTAGTTAATTCAGTCCTAAACCTTTCAATTTTGCCAATTGAGTTCTAAACATTTTAACATGTAACCATTGAAATTCAATGACGTGGATGCCGGTTGTGCCACGTAGGATGACCGACGCTAACGTGGACAAATTTTATTAATTTTTTTATATTTCTTTTCTTTTTTTTTCCCTCTTCTTCCTTTGCCGGTCGCCCAGGCTCCGGCGATAGGCCAGGTGCTACGATCGACAAGAGGCGACCTTAGGTGAGGCTTGCCCTTGCCAAAGCCGGCGAGTTCGAGCCTCGAAAGAGGTCAGCAAGGGTGGGCCTCGCCTAGATCTAGCGAGGGATGACCTCGCTGGCATTGGGTAAGCCTCTCTTGTGGCGCCTACTAGGTCACCCCTCGTTTGCTTCGGGCGAGGTCGAGTCTTGCCCTCACTAGCCTTCGGCTAGGGCGACCCTCGCCAAAAGCTAGCGAGGCTCGACCTTGCTCAAGGTCGGCGATGTCGCCCCTCTCTAGATCCCGGAGAGGGCTACCTCACCTGAGGCTAGCGAGGCCGACCCTTGTCGGTCGTAGCCTCTGGCTAGTTGTCGACCATCACTGACGCTGGGCGATTAACGGAGGAAGAAGGAAAAGAAAAGAAAAATAAATAAAATTTGTCAACGTCAGTGTCATATAGGATAGTCGATGTTCACGTTAGCGAATTCCGACCAAAATTGGCCAGATTGACTTAATTGGCAAAATGTGAAAAGATTTAGTACGCAATTGGAAAAATTGAAAGGATTAGATCCGAATTGGTAAAAGTAGAATAAATTTATAACTTTTTGAATAATTTTCACGGGAAAATCGTGCTCGAAGCAAATTTCCGACGTGGAAAAAAGCGGATTCCTTTTCTCTCTCTCTCTTCGACGATACGACGACGTGGAAGCGCTCCTCCGGGTAACAGCGATGCCGACACACCCCCCACCCGCAAACGACCGTACAGTGTACCCTCCTTTTAGAGAGAGAGAGAGGGAGGGAGGGAGGGAGGGAGGGAGAGGAAGATCATAGAGAGAGAAAGCTTTAAGCTCTGCTCCCCTTCCCGTCCCTTCTCTCCTCTCACTACTGTATCATCTCTCTCACTCTCTCTCTCTCTCTCTCTATCAGAGATCATTTTGGCAGAACAGTAGAAAACCCTAGGAAGGGTGGGACGGGGTGGGCGGGGGAGGGAGGGAGGGAGGGATAGATAGATAGGGAGAAGAAGCCCATCCATCCATCCAGCCATCCGCGGCCTTCCATTTTGTAAAGTCGTCAAAATCGTCACCTTTTTTTGTACAGAATCACCGCCCAAAGCAGGGGGCAGAAAGTTAATAAGGCGGAGGAGGAGAACGCACGGAGGGAGAGAGAGAGAGAGAGAGAGAGAGAGAGGGGAGGTTCCTCAAAATTCTTGTTCTTGACTTCGATGGAGCTGTACGGTCGCAATCCAGCCAGAAATGGGTCCCAATCGGGTCACCATCCTCCCGAGTGGAGCCCAGTGGGCGCTGAAACCGGGCTCCAAGGTGGTCCCCCGCTTCTTCCCCATTTGATTTCGGTTTGTTCTTGCGCGTTCAATTTCGGTTGAAGCCCGCTCGTGTGGGATCCCCCTGTCTTTCGAGGGTTCTTGTTCTTGCTCGTGTTCAAGTAAATGTGGCGGGTTCGTTTAGGGGTTTCGGGTTCATCTCCCCCGGTCTGATCCTTCTTCTTTTTTTGTTGGTGGGGGGGGGGGGGGTGAATTGGTAGATTCAATGTGGCATCTGGGGCTCGGCGGCGGCGGCGGCGGTGGGGGGAGCGGGAGCGAGTCCTACCCGGAGCGACCCGGCGTGCCCGACTGCGCGTATTACATGCGAACGGGGTTCTGCGGGTACGGTAGCAGGTGCCGGTACAATCACCCGCGCGATCGCGCCGCGGTAACTCCTCGATCACTGTTGAGTAATATGCATTCTTCCCGAGTTTATTTTTACTTAGATAGAATGCGCGTAGCCGGTTCTTGAATCGAAATTCAACTCTTTCGTCAGATGTAATCCGTTCTTGCTTGATCATATACTTAGGATGCCTGAGTTTGTCTTGCGGGTAACTTGGCTTCGATTGATCATCATAGTGGGCAAAGATATTTAGTACTGGTACTAGTTAGATTTTCGCTTTCTAGTGTTTGTGTGGGTGTAATTAGTAGACTGATTTGCAATGTTTGATCCTTTACTCATGTTTGATGATCTTTGATGACTGATGGTAGTGAAAGACCCTGTATGAATTCAGGCCTTTCTTTAATTGGTTGCACATTTAGTTATTACTGAGATGAAAATTTCGGGGATAATGAATCTATTACTATCTGCCCCTAGATGGGCTTATAGACCATATTCAGTTGATTGCGGTTTTGTCTTTCTTTGTCCTTTAACGCATGACGCCCTGATCTAGGCCGAACCTGGAACAGGACAATAATTTGACAACAAAACGTCCACAAACACATGAATTAACTGACTACTCAGTTACTAATGAATTGCGAACTGTAAATCCTATAGATCCTCTATTCCAAAATGTGTTCAAACGTGAAACATGGATCATTACTCCATGCTCTTCCCTGTTAACTCCTATGTTAATATCCTGATCTCCACCACATTTTGCTAGACTTGAAACACCATGACCAAGTCGACATTGCTCTGAAGTAAACAGTTTGACTTTACGAGATCAAGCAGGATGATGCATTAGATTCATTCTGCCACAAATAATTTGGTAATTTCAATGAACTTCGGCAATGAATTAGAAGCATTGAGTTTGGTCATCCTTGCTCACAGTCCAATTAATAGCTGGATAGAAGCTCTTTTGCTGAAGCTCAATGCCCTCTATCTATGGTAATGCTTGTAGCCTCGTGACAAGGCCAACTATTACCCCATAATATGTGTTCCGCACACCTTCCAGCTACTGGTTGCTTGATTAGGACAGTGTTAAGAAGATATCAGAACCTAATGGTCCCAGGTGAGATTTTCAACTTGTAGGTGTTGGAGTATCAGATCTCGATGGCCAATTTCATCAAGCTGATGATATCATAATTAGAATCCAATTGACAATTTGTTTTTCCAGAGCACCTAATTCAGTAAACCACTTCCACCTTGAAACACAGTGCCATTTCCAAGACTTAAAAGGTAATCAATGCTTGATTTCAGTAAGAATGGATTCAACATCATTTTTATTTTAAATAGTTCCGTGAACTTGTCGATGATGGTCTAAAATAAAATCTCAAATTCATAAACTTCTGTGTCAGGTAGCGTGTTTGAGACCAAACAATTAGTAAGAGTTGCTTACCTTGAACCTGTGAAAAGTATGGTTTTGATGACCATCACCCCATGACAATACAGATACTTATTCAGATCATCATGATTAACTTTCCTATTTTTCTCACGGATAGTCTTCAACCTTAACAAAGCAAAGGACTTCAGATTGGAAACTAGGCTTCCCAGACATTGACGGAAGCAGATTGAGAAGCATGTATTCATGTCATGTAACATCTATAGTTTACCACACCTTTAACTTTTCTCTCTTCCTCCTCCTCCTCCATATCAGAATTGAGCTAACGTAATTGGCTTTATGAACCCAAGTGTTGGGAATTCCATGAAATCGTTCACTATTTCAGCAAGACCTGCTATAGTTCATAGAAACCACTGCAAACTTCTCATTTGCACCTAAAAAGACAAACTTTTCTGTCATTTGTTTTGGTTTCTAGTGGCCACATTTTGATTTGATAATATATCACTGTGATCTTACAACAGGGAATTCTAGTTAATTGTTCCTCTCCATGGCATTTGTTAATAGTCCTGACTCCTGCTCGACATGGTATTTAGGTGGTGGCAGCTGTGAGAGCCACAGGGGATTATCCAGAGCGACCAGGGGAACCTGCATGTCAGGTATTCAGTTACTAATTATGTAAGTTGCTAAGCATGTAATAAGCTCTGCATTTTCAACGTTGTTAATGCAAAGACTCTGTAGTCACTACCTAGATCATTGTATTGTTGAGTGCCCCTCCATAGGCATGAAAATGCCAACAACGGATACCCACGAAACACACAAGGATTAAGCGATGTTTCTGTTTTGGTCACTGTCTCTGCAGTTTTATTTGAAGACTGGGACCTGTAAATTTGGTGCTTCCTGCAAGTTTCACCATCCCAAAAATGGCGGTGGATTGTTGAATAGAGTCCCACTTAATATTTATGGCTACCCATTAAGACTGGTGAGACATTGTTTTTCCCTATCTTAGTCAGTCTTTTTGAAGTTACTCGATCTAGTTTATGGAACTCTCTCTAATTCTGTTTTCTTTGTTATCAGGGTGAGAAAGAATGCTCCTACTATTTGAAGACGGGGCAGTGCAAATTTGGTATAACTTGTAAATTCCATCATCCTCAACCTGCTGGTGCATCAATGCCAGCATCTGCACCTCAATTTTATTCACCGGTGCAATCTCCTTCGGTTCCTACTCCTGATCAATACAGGGGAGCATCCACTAGTTTAAGAGTGGCTAGACCTCCTCTTCTGCCTGGTTCGTATGTTCCAGGGGCGTATGGTCATGTGTTGATCTCCCCTGGAGTTGTTCCCGTGCCTGGTTGGAGCCCTTACTCGGTAAGGTTGAAGTTGTAATCAAATTTGATAGATTTTTTAATGGAACCTTTTGTATGATGTGGTTAGTCTTTCTTCTGCAGGCACCTGTAAGTCCAGCATTATCTCCTGGTGCCCGGCCTGCAATGGGAGCAACTTCGCTTTATGATGTAGCACAGCTGACATCATCTACCCCAGCTATTGGTGGATCATTTCCCTCCATTCCTTCCTCCGCTGGACCATGGGGCAGCAGTCATAAAGAACTAGTATTTCCAGAGAGACATGGTGAGCCTGATTGTCAGTATTACATGAGAACGGGGGATTGTAAATTTGGATCATCTTGTAGATACCATCATCCTAGGGATCGTATAGTGCCAGGGACAAACTTCGTCCTCAATCCGCTTGGCCTTCCTTTGAGACCGGTATGCGGTTTCTCTTTGTTGCTTTTACCATGTGATTCTTTACTATGCTTGCTAATAATGTAGATCAAGAATTTTCGTTTTATAAGGTAAAAGTTATTTAAATTGTTCAGTGCTGGAACGAGGCCTTATCTTTAGGAGGACATCTGCTGTGATGTTTGCTTTTATTTGTGTTGAAATGATACCAAAAGTTAAAACCTGGTCCATCTGTTATACTTTAAATGAAAATTGGGTTGTCCATCTGTAGTTAGTTTTCTTTGTAGCAGGAATGTTGATCTAGCAAATGATGTGTTGCCTAATATTTGTTCCTGTTGACAATCATCTGGTATGCTATTTTAGTCTTTGCAATCCTGGTACCCATGATGGATGCAGCTCTAGTAATCCTAATGACCTTTGGTTGACTAAGCTTGTAAAGTTTTTCGATCGATTATCACCTTATCTTGTAAATTTTTGACTTGCTGTTGTTGCAGACATCAGCATGTTTAGGTCAAATGTCCTTTAGAAAAGAACTAGTTAGCAAGTTTTGATGGCGTTGTTCAAAAGGGAACTGTCATGCTTTGGCATTTCTGGCATGTAGGGTGCTAACTGAACTTATGTCTGTGAAAAGTAGTCATAAGATCTGTTTAATATTCTCAATCTGCAATAGATGTTTGCTCTGGCTTTTACCTTCATGAGAAGAGTATCCTGGCTAGCTGCTGCTAGACTGAATGATTAATTCAAATTTGAAAAATTGAAGACCACTTGTTAAGAGTTTGCTCTTTTGGTCTTAGCTAGTGATGACAAAGTTCTGGCAACTGAGCTTTCTCATGTAATATGAGTTAATCTTACTCCTCTTATTTCAAATTTGTGTAAGAATGAGGTTTTAATTAATGTTACAATATTATTTGCTGAGAAACAAGAGGGATGTGCTCTCGGTCTAGCACTTGGCAGAAGTATGCTTCGTGGTTCATTACCTGCTTCTTGGTATAATGGTGGTTTTCCTGAAGTACTTCCTTGTGTTGTGCATTGCTGAGGCTCTTGAGCTTGTACATGCACAAGTATATGCTTGCACCTTAAAACCAGCTTTTGAACAGTGGTTAGGAGGGAGGGAGTGCATCTATTCTGAACACTAGTGGCCAATTTTTTTTGTCCTGTTTACTTTTCTTTCTCATTTCTATGCACTATAATATGCTAATTATGTGTACATCTCCCATTGTAGTAAGGGCTCTGCTTCCCATTGTGGTAATTTATTGGTCCTTGTCAAAGTTGGGCATATGTTGGTGGTTATAGGAGGACATAAGTTAGATGTTGATGCTCTATAACTGCATATTTCTCCTTGTTTTTTTTTCACTAGAAGGTGATGAAAAAGTTTTACAGCAATGAACTTTTCTGTTTGAACTTATGAACAGCAATTGTAATCTTCACTTTGTATAATACTAGCTTGATGGCGTTGAACATTCATTTGTTCTATTTTGTGCAGGGAGTCCAACCATGCGCCTTTTACATGCAAAATGGGCATTGCAAATTTGGGTCAACATGCAAATTTGATCATCCAATGGGGACAATGAGGTATAGCCCGTCGGCGTCATCTCTCACTGACATGCCAGTTGCTCCTTACCCTGTTGGATCTTTGCTTGGGACGTTGGCACCGTCATCATCTTCAGAGTTGAGGCCTGAACTGGTTTCAGGATCCATGAAAGATTCTTACTCGACCAGGGTGCCGTCTAACGAGACTTCTACTAGTTCTGTTGGACTAATGTTTTCTCAGACTGGGTCAGTTCCACTATCTGATGTACAATTTTCAAGTCATAGTTCTGCCTCCTTGAGTAGTAGCAGAAGTACCAAGCCAGGCAACGATGTTCGTCGATCGAGCTGATGAACCAAAAGTATTCAATCCCATTAGCTTCTTTATGTGGTTAAACCACGATTACATAAGGTCTAGATGTCAGTAAATTAATTGTGTCCATTATGATTTGGGATCCTCAATTGTTAAATGAGGGTCTAGCCAACGAGCTTGATTATAGCATTTAGGACTTAATGATCTCCTATAGGGTTATATTTTATATTTGAATAAGCTTGCATACTCTCTGATATGAAGTGTTAACCCATCGATACACCGGAGGTTGCAGCCATATCAGGTAAGGTCATACTGCCTTTGCTTTAGTTTCTGGAGTTTTGCAGTACTCCTGTGTGTATATGTTCTGATGTTCCTTCAATGAACTATCGGAATATTAAGAACGTTAGGCTTATTTTGTGAATTTAGTCTTGATCAAGCAGTTCATTATTATCTTAGAATGGTCCTAAGTTACATTAATCCCCTAAAGCTATCTGCTTTCGCATCTTGTTTCACTCCCATGATTTCTTTCTGCTCAATTATTAATCTTCCTCAATTCTTTAGAAAGATTGGATGCGTGTTAAATCGATCTGATTAAACCTGTATACGTGCAAAACTTGCTGCAGATTTTGTTTTCGAACTGTTGGCAAGAAAGCTCAAAGCGGCTTTCAATCTCATAATTTGATTCAATTTTCGACCTGGGCGGCAAACACCATAGAATGGTTTGTATTCTAAGATTTTTCACGCGAGCATGATTGGACAAGCGGTTGATGCCCAGAAATTGGCACGAGGATTCAACAGAATGAAGTGTTTCGCCCCCCCCCAAAAAATACCGAAGCTGAGATGAAATGACTCACGGTCATTTCAATGCATCAGCATTAGGAGAAGTGATCTGAACCGACATCCATTCTGCAGAAAATGAAGTACCAAACCAGTAAAAAAGGAGATTGGACCCAGAAAGGGTAAAGATCCATCTGCCGTGTACCTTTCTTTTCAATACGAGAAAATGAAAAAGTTGATGAACTGGGGTCATCATTGCAGCAGGTAAATCCAACTCACACCGGAAATGAGCTTTAAGCAATTTTGCCTTTTGTTTAGTCCAATTCTTTAGTGCATATCATTCACTGGCAATGATTACTATCCCCCCAAAAGCAATGCAGCAATCGCACACGCACAATCTAGGTCGATTTCTCAAAGCGAAAGACCATGGAGCATAAGGCCAATCTGTCACCACCTTTCCCTCCCCAAAAAAGCGCACCTCACACCTGCACTCCTCACTTGACTTTTTAGAGCAACAGCCATCATGGACACTCGATTAAAAAGTCTCACCGCCATCATCAAAGTCATCACTCCTCATCACCAAACGCCCTTCTTCATTGCAAAAACACACTCGACGCCAGGAAGGCTCCACAGACTCGAAAGTGCAAATGCAAGAAGGAGAACCTTCGGATTAGAGGACAGGGGTTGGCGGGTTCGGATGTAGGAGAGATGGGTGTGATAACAGTTGGAGTCGCCGAGTTGAAGCCGAGCGTTTCAGGGAGGCGGTCGCTTCGTCCGAGTTCGAGCGTCAGGCAGGCCATTGAATGGTGAGTATTTTCCTCATTTTCCACTTCTTTGCTGTCGCCTACCAGAGACTCTGTTTGTTGCATAGCAAGTTTTTTCATAGTTTTAGTGTTAGCTGCAAAGTGTATCTCACTTCCATCAGTTCAGTATGACCAAGAAAAGAAGGAATCAAACCATGCACTGACTATTCATTTGGCAAATGAGTAGAGCTTGTACTGCGTTCCTGACATAGACATCGCCTCCTCGTCAACGCTCGTCTTACAAGAAATACAATAGTCTTCTCGGCATTTTTCGCTTCCGTTAATCGCAAAGAATCGCTTATGCTATCTTCACAAATCTAATGCTCTTATAAAGTAGGAAGTGACACGGCCGGTAGAGGCCGCCCTTATCCTGGTATTACATGGGAAAATGATCCACCGTAATTCCCTCCTTAACTATATCTGAAATTGGAAGATAGCTCTCTGCCATACCGAGGTCTTAAAACTTGGATTCAATAGCTTCTAGCGCGTCAGAGGAATTAATGAAAAACAGTAGGTCTGGTTCTTTTCTTGGACATAATTTTGAACAAACATCATGATGGACCATGCCATCCAAAGTTAAGAATGTTAAGCACAGACAGAACTGTCGTACAATCACAGCGTCCTGGCCTCAGACATGGTAATGCATGCCTACTGAAGCCATGGTTGGTGCGTAGTCCTTCAGTCACTGGCAATTTCCTCTCAAATAGAAACAAGCTTTTGATAGTGAAACTTACTGAAATTTCAAATTCGATCTGAAGAGATGATTTTTGCAGGCCGATATCTGATGTCTCCAGTGATCTCGCCGTTGAAGTAGGGGCAACAACCTTCGCGCTTCACAAGGTATGGAAGGATTGAATTGGAGAATAACTGGCGCCTTTTTATCTTCTTAGGAGTGGAGAAAAGATCTTTAATTGGTTTATCATCGAAACTTCACTTAAAGATGCCGGTGAAGGTTGTGGTCCTTTTCTTCTTGAATGGATGATGATGATGATCCTCTCAACTCATAGTTAACTAAAATCGTTGTAGCTTAACTATGCACATTCATACAACCTGGTCCAATTAGTCTAATTCACGAATTTGAGTATCATGTTTCATCGGCTGAAGATTTCAGAAAAAGAAGTTTCTCCGATGGTGATGACATAAATAGAAAGTTTGCTCCGAACCTACTCTTTCTAGAGAAACTAATGCAGAAAAATGAGGTAAAGATGGAGCTCAAGTGTATGCTTTTTCGTAAGATCATTGATGCAGAGAGTACGTTCCTTGCAGTTTCCTCTTGTTTCGAGGAGCGGTCGGATTCTGAAACTGTTTGTGGACACAAAAGAATCAAAAGCCTCACGGATTTGTCTCCGGGATGTCCCAGGTGGTCCGCAGGCATTCGAGATAGCTGCCAAGTTCTGTTATGGCATAAACATAGACATTTCGTTGTCCAATGTCGCAACGCTTCGCTGCGTAGCTCATTACCTGGAGATGACGGAGGAATTGGCTGAGAAAAACCTGGCATTCCGTACTGAAGCTTACATCAAGGACATGGTGCTACCGAACATTTCTATCTCAATCACCGTGCTTCATCAATGCCAAAACCTGTTGCCCATCTCTGAAGAGATCAACCTGGTCAGTAGGCTGATCAATGCCATAGCGAACAACGCTTGCAAAGAGCAGCTCACGTCGGGCTTATCCAAGCTTGACCGCAATTTTTCAGCAAAGCCCATCGAGGATGTGGAACCGGAGACGCCTGCGGATTGGTGGGGAAAATCGCTTTCAGTGCTAAGTCTTGATTTCTTCCAGCGAGTTCTAACGGCAGTCAAGTCGAAGGGGCTAAAGCAGGACATGGTCAGCAAAATTTTGGTGAACTATGCCCATAATTCTCTTCAGGGCCTCAGCCTTAGAGATCCACATTCTGCAAAAGCGAGTTATTCGGACTTGGAATCACAGAAGAAGCAGAGGGTGATCGTGGAAACAATAGTCAGCTTGCTCCCGACGCAGTCGAGGAAGAGCCCCGTCCCGTTGGTATTTCTCTCGAGCTTGCTGAAAATTGCCTTTGGAGCATCCACGTCCACTTCTTGCAGATCCGATCTGGAGAGGCGGATCGGCTTGCAGTTGGACCAGGCCATTCTCGAGGACATCCTCATCCCCGCGAATTCACACGGGAATGGGCAAAGCCTAATTTACGACACAGAGTCAATCTTGAGGATATTTTCCACTTTCTTGAACTTGGACGAGGACGATGATGACGAGGACAATCAGCTGAGGGATGAAAACGAGATGGTTTGCGACTTCGAGAGTCCTGGATCCCCGAAGCACAGCTCGCTTCTCAAGGTCTCGAAGTTGTTAGACAGCTATCTTGCGGAGGTTGCGCTTGATCCCAACTTGTCGCCGGCCAAGTTCATAGCGCTCACCGAACTGCTTCCTGACCACGCCCGTGTAGCAAATGATGGACTCTACAGAGCTGTCGATATCTTCCTCAAGGTCAGGATCCTTCTCCTTCCTATCTTTGTACCAAAACCTTTTGTAATACAAGTAATTCTATTCAAATTGTAGACCGAAATAATCATAGTCCACTGGCTCACGCTTCTCTTTGCAGGCTCATCCGAACATCAAGGACACGGAGCGATACCGGCTGTGCAAGACTGTCAACTGCCAGAAACTGTCGCAGGAAGCCTGCAGCCACGCGGCGCAGAACGAGAGGCTGCCCGTGCAGATGGCGGTCCAAGTCCTGTACTTCGAGCAGATCAGGCTGAAGAGCGCGATGGGTGGGGCGGGCGGGCCGCCCCACCACCACAGCCAGTTCTTCCTCGGCTCGTCCGCCAGCATTGGCGGCGGGGCCGGCCCGTTCCCGCACCGCTCGGGGAGCGGGGCAGGCGGGAGTGGGGCCATCTCGCCGCGGGACAACTACGCTTCAGTGAGGCGGGAGAACCGGGAGCTGAAGCTGGAGGTGGCCAGGATGAGGATGCGGCTGACGGACCTGGAGAAGGACCACGTGTCGATGAAGCAGGAGCTCGGGAGGCCGCACCCGGCGAGCAGGCTGCTGAGGTCGTTCACCAGGAAGCTGGGCAAGCTCAACGGGCTGTTCCGGATGAGCTCTGCGAGGCCGCAGGGGAGCAAGGCGAACTCGGAAACCGGCTTCTTGTTCCAGAGCCACAAGCGAAGGAACTACTCATTTTCTTGAACCACCATGTATATGTTCGAGCATGCCTCGTCTCTTCTTAATCTTATTGGGTTTTAGCTTCAAGTGTATAGCTTCTACTGTATCATTGTATCTCATCGGGGTTGGTCGATGGACAAACTGCCACTACTGCCAGGCAAATGTTAAACTCTGTATCATCGTCGTCCCCGCTCCCATTGTTCATCCCTTCGTCTCAAAAAACGAGTCCAGAAATCGAACTGTGGAACGAAAATTAATAATAACATATTGTGAGCAAGATTTGTCAAGAAGAGGACTCCGTGGCCCAATGGATAAGGCGCTGGTCTACGGAACCAGAGATTCTGGGTTCGATCCCCAGCGGAGTCGACTCTGTCTTCTTTTCTCTCTCTTTTTGGCAAACACCATTGATTTCTTTAGGCATAATAACTCAAACTGTTCCTAAATTTTTACCCAATATGTAACGTGGTCCCCAAACTTTTAGTTTGTTTAATGTACATGTTCAATGTAATGCATGAATTATGTAATCCTTCAATTTCTTTTTGGGAAAATGATATAAATAGTTCGCTCAATGTGCAATGTGGTCCTTCAACTTTTAATTTTTTCAACGTGGTCCATGAACTTTTAATTTGTTTAATGTACATGTTCAATGTAATCTCTGAATTACCAAAAGTCAAACTATCACATTGAACAGATTAAAAGTTCATGGACCATATTGAATATTAAGTTAAATTTCATGGATTGCATTGAACAAATTAAAAGCTCAGATATTGAACTTTTAATTTGTTTAATGTACATGTTCAATGTAATCCCTGCATTATCAAAAGTTCAATGATTATATTGAACAGATTAAAAGTTCAAGGATCACATTGAATATTAATTTAAAATTTAGAGATTACATCGAATAAATTAAAAGTCGGATAAGTTCGGAGATTTCGTTGCAAGTAGTGTCAAGGTTCACGAATTGTTGCGTCGTTATCCCTTTCTTTTTTTATTTCGGCTTCTGCCCAATCGATTCTTCTGTGGGCTCTTCTTCTTGAGAGGATTGAGCTTCAGGAGGAGGAGATCCAAGAACGTCGTCCGTCCGTCCGTCCGTCGGGTCCTTGCTTTTCTTCCTGCCTCCTCCTTTCGAAGCTCGTTTTGGCCGCAGCGAACGCAGCTGCAGCGCGGCGCGAGCTTCTGGGTGATCGAAATTCGGAGGGGAGACGGAGAGGGAGCGCGCGCGAGAGGGACCGCCACCACCACCGCGCGATGTCGTTCTCGCGCCTGCCCACCAGCTCCTTTCCCTTCTCCCGTTTCTTCAAGTAAGCGGCTGATGATCTCGCTTCGACCCGGTTGCGTTTCGTGTTTCTTTTTTACCCGTCTGCGTGATTTCGAACCGTTAAATTTCTGGGTGTTGAGTCGATTCCGGTTATAATGGTTTCTGACTTTCGTTCTAGTTCTGTATCTGCTCGATTGGGCGTGCTCAGTTAGACTGGTTCTCTTAAAAGTTGCTTGGTGCTGTTCCAATCACATTGAGAAGAGACCCAGTTGAAACAAATGGGTTTTCCTGCGAAAGAGGAGACAGATAAAAGAAGGGGAGGAGGAGGATGAATCCTATGCCCATGTGGATGAATCAGTGATTCTCAGGAGACATGGTGGATTGTGGGGGCATGAGTTTCAATGGCAGGAAAACCTGTGCCTGTGTAATTCTTCCGTAGGTCGAATTGGATGTTTAATTGTTGGAGTAATGGTTGGAGGGTCGAAGGTGGATGCGTGGGTGTGATGACTTGTGTGCCCGTTCGATATCCGCATGAAGCTTTGGAAGCTTTTGCTTGCATTGTGTCATTTAGTCTAAGAACATTGATGTCCTGTGATATGGGCAATGATCTGATCAGGAAATCATAAAGTGAGGGTGATTGATCTTTCTGTATCTGCCTTTTCTTCCTGATATTGAAGGGCCACGTTTAGCACAGATTATGGATGTTATAAGGTGTGAATGTGGTCAAGTCATGCTTTGAGCCTTTTACAAATGGCTCTAGTTGCCTTTTAGCATGGTAGTTGATTGATATCTCTGCCCCTTGGTTGTCGTTTCGAGATGAAGTTATGGACATAATATCAATTTCTTGTGTCCTTGTCCGGTTCATGGAGGACTTCACCGGTTCTTATTGTGCTGAGTTGATACTTGAACCTGAAAATAAAAAAAGCCTTCTTTTTGCATGAGTAAGCTGGTTAGTTACAGAGGTTAAAGTGACACCACCAATATCATGTAATGTGTGGTTGGCTCTTCCTTTTTTTCCCTTGTATTTGCTTCTCCCTTTGCAGTTTCCAGTTTGCTAATATTCCTGCTATAGCTATGGATGATCTTGGCCTTTTTTGTTTTCTCTCTTTGTACTTTTGTTCTTCGCCTTTTGATTTGTACGCAATTTCCCCTTTCCACAGGCAGTTGGAGCAAGAAGTGGAAACGGTAGTGAGGGTGTTGCAGCCTGGACCTCTGGGAATCATAGAGCACAAGTTCTCCACTGAGGAGATAAACGAGGCCAATGCCACAGTCCGCCGAGCAGTAGAAGCTTGGAGAAGAAGTGCCGAACTAGAGAAAAGAAACCCGTTCTTGAGAGATTATATCGAATCGTGAGGGAAGACCTATTGCTCCAACTCATCACCATGCGTAAGCTATTTCTGATGCTCTGTTCAGAGTATGCATACAAAGTCTACTTCCCACAACATCCATTTCGGTGCTGTTTTGGTCGCTCGGAATTGGTTGCTGGTAGGAATCGTAGAAGTAACGAGTGGAAGGCATCCTCATTCCTTCTTTTCCAACCCTGTTACTAAATTGACCGGTATGTTTGCGGAAGGATGCATACTCCATGCACTTTTTGTTGGTTAAGAAAGCATATCAATAAGAATGCAAACTAATTGTGCTTGCTGGCGCCGCGCCCTTCAATTACGCGCTGAATGACTTTATTCTACCCTGTGAGGGGGTGCCTAATATTCTTGTCTCCTAGTTGTAACCAAAAGAGCTTGGTTGGAGTTTCCAACAGGCTTGCTTCTAGGTGGTCCGCCAAGCTTTTGAGTTCTTTCTATAGTGCTAAAACCGGAGGTACATTTCCGAGTTGCATCATTGCAGGTTTGATCTTTTCTTTGCTGCACTTTCTTTTACGGACTCATAACGGGAAAGGAACACGGTAGCAATGACCCCGGATGATTAATTCACCGTCTTCAACGTTCTTTGTTCTGAGAAATTGGTGAAAATGCTGTCTGTTGGTCGTACTTTGAAAAAGTAGACACTGTTCTTGATTGTTCTCTGCTCTAGTTCCTCAATAACTTTGCATATGGATAGCGATGGATTGTCAATGTAATTCTCTGTTTCGCCTCCTTCCATTCTCGCCGGCAGTGTAAGTTGTTTAACGACACGTTGCATAATGTTTTTACATCGAGTGTACACATCTATGTCAGAGCGCATATCGTCATGTGCGCAAATTACGCATGTCTAAATCGATTCCCATTCAGAGTTCAATCTATGCGAACCGGAAAAACAGATGAGTTCTGCCATGAAAAGAACGCCATGAACTCCAGCAATGTATGGAGCTCACTGCCATCTCAACAATGCATATCGAACTGTTCGTTTCTTATTGTTAATCCCATAATTGCGGTTGCACGTTTTGAAATAAGAACGCTATTCACGCGAAAGTTGCCTATGTATCTGGAAAAAATGACGTTTTGGCGTCCAGGGAAAATTATCTAGGCGGCCAATTCATTTTTACATTATTCAATTTGGCAAATTTAGTCTTAAACCTATTTGACGATTTGTCAATGTAGTTCTTTCTACGTGGTCAGCACTAACATCAATAATTTGGCTGAAAGGATTACATTTGTAAACGGTTAAAAGATTTAATTTATTAACCATATTGAAAGTTTAGAGTTGAATTTACCGTCATTTTAGGGCAATTATTCCTGACGTTGGTGTCGGCTAAACAAATTCGAGAAAGGGAAATTGGGGTGGTTTTTATATTTTATATTTTTTTAAGCTTCTGGTCTTGATGCACGTAGTGAAGAATATTCCCCACTTTAAGGGTGAGATTTTCCTCGAGCGGAAATACTTTTCGACTGTTGATGATGGAACGTGCACCCACGGGCCTAATTTTTTTGCCTCTTCTCATTTGGCTTTCCGCCATTGTCAACAGGCCTAAACTTTCTTCTTTTGGCCAATCTGATTTCAATAATACTACTAAAACACATATTAATTTCTAAAATTAAGTGTGATTGGCCGTGACTACGTGACGATCGATTGAACAAGTACGAATTGAAATCCTTCTTCATTGGTAGTGAAATCGCGTAGCCTACAGTGCGTGCCAGCTTTTAGCCAAAAGAGTTGCATGCACCGCTTATTGTTTGATTTGAGCATAGACAGATTTAATGGATCTCACGTATAAGAATTATAAGATTTTATGCATCTCACGTCGCTCGAAACTCGAATCACCGGTCATTCTCGGCGCACTCGCTGCTTATCTGAAATTTGCCATTCGAATCATTCGCTTGAATTGCGACATGTCGTTGCAATGCTGCGTATCTACATCCGATGCAAGTTAAACATGCTCGGGAGCCATGTTTGGCTGCACCGGTTACGTGTGAGTTCAATACACTTTGACTGTTAAGTCATCTACATACCGAGCGTGACTCCCGAATTCTCTAATTTTTTTTTTACCATAGGATCCTTTATCAATTAGGTGGCCCAAGAATCATCTACCAACGATCCTTTTGGATTGATAAAGATCTCTTTATTCTAAAGAAATTCCCGAAAACGATACTCATTCGCCTACATAAATTTCATGGGACGCACATATCATTTGATGCCTTAAGATTACATTTAGAGTGGTAAATGCAAAAGAAAACAAAAAGACCTCAAAAAGCAAAAGAACAAAAAAACAAAGAGAAGAAGGCTGCCATCTTCCATAGCGTGCAGCCATTAGGGTTAGAAAACAAAGCTACCAAGAAGTCCGCCTTTTCGTATTCGTAATACAATCTCGCACGCGTATGTTAAACGTATTATTGCTATAATGAGGGAAAACTGAAGAAAGACGCAAATGCTTATCTTTAGTCTCTATATCCAAATAGCTCTGGCCTCTCGGAGAAGAGGGACCAAAGTCCCCCTCACCTGGTGGCTCATGAGCTCGTTCGGGCCGCCGACGTACTTCTGGCCGATGAACACGGTGGGGACGACCTCACGCCGCCCGAGCTGGACCAGCGCGCGCTCGACCTGGTTGCTGTTCGGGATCTGGTCGAGCTCGTACACCGTCAGGTTCGCGCCGTAGCTCAGTATGAGCGACTTCACGGTGTGGCTCATGCAGCACGTGCTCTTGCTGAATATCACCACCGGCTTGTCCTTCACGAGCCCTGCCAGCACCGCGTCCATGCCGCTGGACGATGACGTATCCGAAGCCTCGAGATAATAGAGTTCGTGTGTGTGAGCTTAGTGTGCTTTGAGCTCGTGCTTTTGGGTCTGCAGCTTGTGAGAAAAATGGCTTGGCTTTGAGGTCCTTTTATAGAAACTCATCAGTTGTACAGTGAATTCACCTTTTTTTGGCCGTTTATTTAAAGTTTGGTTTTGCAAGAATAATACTAAGAGATAAAAAGGGTTTATTTGCAATCTTTGTAGGGGGAAGAACAATATTATGCGGAACCGTACATAGATCTTATTCCTATATTAACCTCATCATTAAGTGACGGCGACCCTAGTGTCACAAGTTGCAATCTCCTTTAGCTCGATGCACAGTGTATATAACACATATTTTAGGCCATGTGAAGGGACTGTGTTGTCATCTAGAACTTAAAAAGAGTGGAATATATTCACATGCATGCAGTGTTTTACGTGGCCTGAATTGAGGACGTATTGTCACGATGAGCCCGAAGACTAACATAGATCCTAATCAATCGGAGATCTCTCTAGAATGGTAATCTGGTGTTTTGTGGCATGAGCACTTGAACTAGGCTGAATTTGTAGTACTCCAAACCCTATTATTTTTTAAATTTATTTAGTTACGGCGGCAAACTCTAATTAGGTGATGGTTTCAGTTTTCCTTCGTCCCTGATCTGGGGAAATTTTCTTGAATCAAACCTCTGATTGGTGGTACAAATATGAATATCACATATGCAAACTTAATTAGATATAAAAATGTTTTGTAACTCACCAATCGAAAGATTAGTTGGAGAAAGTTTTCTCCAAGTTTAGATGGAGAAACTATAGGGAAAAGTACAAAAAAAGTTCTAAACGTATTGTATTGGCACCAATTCAGTCATAAATCTTTCAATTAGACCAATTTAGTCCTAAACCTTTTTACATTGGTACAAATTCAGTCCATCCGACTAATTTAGGCCGGAAATCGCCGACGTGGATGCCGACCGTCTTACGTGGCACGACCATTGCTGACGTTGACATTTTAAAACAATTTTTCAAATTTTTTATTAATTTTTTCCTTCATTTTCTTTCTTTTCTTTTTTTTTTTCCTTTTTTTTCCTTTCCTTCCTCTTCCCTCCACTAGTTGCTAGCCTCCACGATGACCGGTCGAGGCTGCCGACCACGGGGGAGGCCGGCCCTTGGCGAGGGCTGGACGAGGCCGCCCCTCGCTAGATCCAATAAGAGCACCCTCGCGCAACCCTCGCCAGAGGCCAGCTAAGGGGTCCCTCGCTAGATTCGGCAAGGGAACCCTCACCCAGCCCTCACCAAAGGCCGGTGAAGGCCGGGATGCCCTCGCCGGCCTCACCGTCTCAAGGCCCCTTGCCAGATCCGATGAGGGCATGGGTGGCCTCCTCCAGCCCTCGCCAAGGGCTAGCCTCCCCAATGGCCGGCAAGGGTGTCCTGGCCCTTGCCCTCGCCGGTGGCCTCTGCCAGTCATTGTGGAGGCTGGCGACTGGCGAAGGGAAGATGAAGGAAAGAATAAAAAAAGGAAAGAAAAGAAGAATAGCAAGAAAAAGAGAAGAAATAAAGTAAAAGGAAAAATAAAAGAAAATATTAATAAAAAAAATTCAAAAAATTATTTTAAAAAGTCCATGTTAGCGATTTCCGGACTAAATTAGCCGAATAGATTGAATTGGTACCAATATAATTAGGTTTAGAACTAAATTAGTATCAATGCAATAGATTTAAAACTTTTTTGATACTTTTCCTAAAAAAATATGGTCCTTGTTAAGGTGCACTTGTGAGGGTGTTAGGTGAAAGAAGTCCCACGTTAGAAATGTGGTGTAATGTGAGCAGTTAATATATCATATTTGCCCCATAACTCATTAGCTTAAATTTTTGAATGAAAATGGGTCCTACTAAATATGTTGACGATATCGGATTTAGACTCTCCCTCGGTGATGTCCTTAGGTGAAAGTACTAATTTTTGTTGCATCAATCCAATGAGTAGTATAGGAGCCAATAGTTGATTAATGGCCACTCCTAGTATGTATTAGCTTTTCGCTAAACTTGGTGGGGCAAAGCGATTGAGGTAGACGTGGGAAAATTACCAAAAAAGTCATAAACCTATTGCACTTGCGCCAATTAGTCTTAAACCTTTTAATTTGGCCAATTTAATCCTAAATATTTTGAAAATTTGCCAATGTAGTCCATCTGGCTAATTTTGGTTGGAAATCCATAACGTGGACGCTGGCCTTCCTATGTAGCACCGCCAACGCTGACATTGACAATTTTTGTAATTTATTAATATATTTTTTTATTCTTTTATTTTTTTTATAATTTTTGCTTTTTTTTTTCCTTCTTCCTCCACAGTTGTCGGCCTCCTCGATGGATAACGATTGGCCATAGGTGAGAGTCGGCAAGGGCTGACCTCGCCAGTCGAGCAAGACTCGCTTCGCAGGGGCGAGGTAACCTTGTTGGTATCCGATGAAAGTTGACCTTGTCGGCTTCGGGTCTATTGAGCCTCATGCGAAGCTGGCAAGGGCAAGCCTTGCTTGAGGTCGGCGAGGTGACCTCGCCTGTCGCCCCTACGAGGCGAGTCTTGCTAGCTCTCGCATGGAGGAAGAATGAAAAAAAAAAGAAAAAAAATTATAAAAAAATTCAGAAAAAATAAAAATAAAATACAAAAATTGTCCATGTTAGCGTCATCAGTGTCACGTAAGACAACCGTTGTCCACATCAATAATTTTCGGCCAAAATGGCAGGATGGACTACATTGGCAAATTTTCAAAAGGATTAAGACTAAATTGGCCAAATTGAAAGGTTTAGTACTAAATTGACACAAGTGCAATATGTTTAAGACTTTTTTTGGTAATTATTCCCATATAAAATCTTAACCGATTTCTACATTAAGATCATAAGACATTACCGCTCAAGGTGTGTTATGTACTTATAACATCACCAAAATATCATGTTTACCAATACATTGGATGATTTTACATTATTCAAGAATTTGAATCTTAACACTCACTCTCTTAATTTGCATTTATTGGTACAAAGTGTGCGCAAAGTACATATATATAATTCTCGAAAAAGGGGGTCGAAAATGTATTTAGAAAGCTTTCGAATATGATTTTAAACCAAAGAAAAATGTAATTAACCAAACAAATGTAAACCAACCAAAGTAGTCATCACTTATTCACCCATTTATTTAAGGAGCAATACCCTCTTGTGCTTGTGTCCTGGTCCCCGGCGGCCATGCATGGGTACTCGCCTCCCGTCCCCAAGTCATTGGCACCCTACTTGGGTTCATCGAGACCGTGGCTGGGTCTAGGTCTACATAGGCTAGGCCCAGGTCCCTTGAGGCTGGGTCCAAGACCCTATGCTTGTGTTTAGGTCCACAAAGGTTGGGCTTGAGACCTCGGTGCCAATGTCTAGGTAGCCGGCTGCCATGCCTAAGTACCTAGCTCTTGCGCTTAAGTCATTGGCACTCGACCTAGGTTCATTGAGGCCGACTTGGGTACATCAAGGTTTAGGGTAGTTCCTCTACGGTCGAGTTCGGGGCCAGGTCCATAGAGACAACCTAGGTCTCTCAGGTTAGGGCTGAGACCTCTGTGCTCATGCCAGGGTCCACAGAGGCTGTGCTCGAGTCCTCCAAACCTAGGCCCAAGAACTTGGATTCATGCTTGAGTCCTTGACGATGCCCAAGTATCTGACTCTCGTGCCCAGTTTATTGGCACTTAGCCCAAATCTATCATGGTCGGGCCCGGTTCTCTTAAAGCCGGGCCCTGGACCCTTGAGGTTAGGCCTAAGACCTAGGCCAAGCCCGAGATCATGTCCTCAGTGGACCTACCCAGGCACCTGGCTCTTATGCCCAAGCCACTAGCATCCGGCTCGAGTCCATTGTGGCTCGGCCCCGTTCCTCGGTAGTAGGGCGCAAGTCCCTCAAGGCCGAGCCCAAGACCCCGGTGCCTATGTCTAGGTTCTCGGTAGCCATGCCTAAGTACCCGACTCGCATACCCAAGTCATTAGCACCGGGCTTGGTTCCATTAAGGCCGGGCCTAGGTCCCTCGAGGCAGAGTCCATGTCTCCCGAGACTAGACTTGGGACCTTGATGCTCTTAACTGAGTCCTAAATGATCATGCTCGAGTACCCAGCTCTGCCCTAAAGTCACTGGCGCTTAGTTAGGTCCATCGTAGTCGGGCCCAATTCCTTGATGGCAAGGCCCATGTCCACAAAGGTGGGGCATAGTGATGTGGACATCGTGCCATATCGAGGAGGAGGTGCTAGGGAGCCATTGTCCTATCCTCTTGGTCCGATTACTCGAGCAAGGGCGAAGCAATTCAAGCAAGCTGTTGGCATCATGGTTCGAGATCTTTGGAGTGGAAGCAATCTTGGATCGAGACGTGAAGAATCTTGGATCTCTTGGCGCAACACGACCAAATTTGGTCAATTGCAAGGAAACGAGCCGTTGATTAATACACACCACTAATGCCGTGACGGATGTCATTTTTTTTTCGCGTTTCGGAGTAGTTTAAGTTTTTTTATTTATTTAAGCGTTTTTTTTAATTCTAGTGGCGTTTTCGTAATTTTTGCGTTTAGGGTTAACACCATATAAAAAGGGTGTTTAGGGTTTCTTTGGAGACAGATGATTCATTTTAATGCAACGAGAGGTTCTTCTCTTATTTGAGTTCTCTGTGGACTTGACCTTATCAAGGCCTTCCTTGTGGTGGTCGATTCGACTAATCGAACATGATAGCGAATTCTCTTGTTTGTGGCGTCTATAATGTCGATTGGTTGACACAAGTTCGTCAACAGGTCACGTTTATACCGAGGTTATCAATCACAGGTTCGATTGGGGGTCGAGGTTTTGGGATTTGCACTTTCCAGATCTTCGTAGAACGATCAACTTCCGCTCAGATTCTCTTCATCTGGTATCAGAGCCCAGGTTCTACAAGGTCTAGTTATCCTAATTTTGTTACTTTCATTCGGCAAATTGAGAATTATTGAACTAGGATCTCAGATTTTAACCAAATTAGGGATCCAAATCTTTCTTGCTGCATTTTTTTTTCTTTTCGGTCCTACTGTGTTTTGATTGTATTTGAGTTCGTAAAAAAAAAAGGATTTGGCAAATAAAAAAAAAAGAGCAAGCCGAACAAA